ATCACAAAGCTGATTTCTTTTAGCTCGTTTGGAAAACAAGTTTAACTTCATTAATTCAGCATACAAGCATAACATGAGCATCATGTGGCTGGTTTGAATGCACTACATCTACCTATTTTCAGCCTGAAGTGAGGTGTTTACTTTCCCTTGAGATCCTCACCCCTGGTCCCTCTCCTGGAAAAGGCTCATAAACTGAGGTCATCTCAGTTTTCTGACTTATCTGATGTCTCCACCACTCCAAATGACTATCCCACCCCATTCTGCAATGACTGTCAATCTGAAGGTATAAGGTATACTCCCAAACCCAGCTCAGACTAACCTGAAGCAAGGGTTTAAGAGAAGTTTTCACGTACCCCATGTGCTAACCAAGAGGCTCTGGGGCAACCCACAGTGAATCTCTCAAACTGAGAGGTTCCTCTTTACAGAAACTATTTGGAAGTCCTGAAAAAACATGGATATACAGCAATTAACTGTGGGCTTGTTAACTGATAGGTCGTCTAAGGGCACAATCTCAGTAGATCCTTAGACTGGGAAATTTACACACCTGTCACTAGAACAATTGGTTATATTTAAAAGTTCCTAGTGTGTTTAGGGTATGGTTTTCTTCAAGGCACCATGAATCAGCCTAGGTAAAAAAGGGGCAAAAAACAGGATGAAACAGTCCTCTGAAGTGGGCTTGTGAATTCTTTTACTTGTGTCACAGCTACGCTATCACAACAAAACTGGAGTTTATAGATGTCCAAAATTTCCAGTTCCCTGTCTCCATCGTGCAGATAGAGATTATTGATTATCTTTCCATTGGTGGTTTCAACTAACTTTCTTGTATCAGATGTGGAGCATTTACATAATTTATTCATCTGGATAAGACAAAAAGAGTAGTAACCAAGCAGCGAGCAGTAATCACAAATTCACAGAATGATATGGGGTTGGAAGGGACGTTTACATGATTTAGTCATCTGGATAAGACAAAAAGAGAGTAGCACCCAGGCAGCGAGCAGTAATCACAGAATCACAGAATGCTATGGGGTTGGAAGGGACCTCTGGAGATCATCCAGTCCAACCCCCTGCCAGAGCAGGTCCACCCAGAGCAGGTCCCACAGGAACATGTCCAGGAGGGTTTGAGTACCTCCAGAGAAGGAGATTCTACCACCCTTCTGAGCAACCTCTTCCAGGGCTCTGCCACCCTCACAGGAAAGAAATTCATCCTTATGTTTAGATGGAACTTCTTATGTTCAAGTTTGTGCCCATTACCTCTTGTCCTGTCCCTGGGCACCACTGAAAAAAGCCTGGCCCCATCCTCCTGACACCCACCCTTTCAGTATTTATAGGCGTTGATCAGATCGTCCCTCAGCCTTCTCTTCTCCAGACTAAAATGACTAAAATGACCTGTTCAGTGTGTCAATACTGTAAGAAATGGGCTGTGTATGCCCTAAACATCAATGAACTAAATGAAAATGCAATCACACTGTGGGGATATCTATTTTGGTTTAAAGCTGCTTTACTTAGTTCATCCTTTAGAACGCTTGATACATAAAGAGTTGCACTGACAGATGCCAAATTAGTTAAACTGCAGCTTCTAGTGTATAAATTAGGCCTATGAGACAGCCTGGTTTGTTTTTACCATCTAGCTCAATCATACCCACCTCACCTGGCTTCACATGCCAACACAATCCCTTAACACAACAATCCATGACTGACTGGATCCGTCATTATGAATTAATAGTGCAAAACAAAAAATGTGCGTTGCGAAATGTGTTGAAATTTAATTATTCATCATCGTCTCTGCATCCCTGTGATGGATAAACTGGAGGAGGAGTGCTGTCAGCAGTTAGGGACCATGTAATTCAGCGATCCTCCATCATGCTAGGAGAGAAATCCAGAAGTGCAAGGCATCGTCGTGCACTGCTCTGCTCTTTGACTTGGTTATTGCCAAAAGAAATCAGCATCTCTTACTGAGAAGGTCCATGACTCCTCCTGCCCAGGGGTGTCCTGCCCAGCTCACTGGGGGAGGAAGGAAGGGCTAGTGCAGGAGAGACCGGCCGTGCCCCCCAGCCATCCCACATCTGTCTGACTTGAACACAAGCCACACAAAACCCAGAGGTGTCCTCGCCTGAGCTGCTCAGACCTGGTTCCTGTGTGTCAAACGCAGTCACTTGCTTTGCTTTTTCAAAGTGCTGATGAGCTGTGAGCATCCTCCTAACTGTTCGTAAGGTGTAGCAAGCTCTAGTTTTCCCAGTTATGCAGTGACCACCTGAAAAGGGACCTCAGGACCACAAAGATGCTCTGAGGACTGGAGCACCGCTCCTATGAAGACAGGCGGAGAGAGTTGGGGTTGTTCAACCTGGAGAAGAGAAGGCTCCGGGGAGACCTTATAACAACTTTCCAATACCTAAAGGGGCTACAGGAGAGATGGGGAGGGACTCTTGATCAGGGAAGGGAGCCATAGGATGAGAGGAAATTCTTTTAAACTGAAAGAGAGGAGATTTAGACTAGATATTAGGAAGAAATTCTTTGCTGTGAGGGTGGTGAGACCCTGGCCCAGGTTGCCCCGAGAAGCTGTGGCTGCCCCATCCCTGGAGGGGTTCAAGGCCAGGCTGGATGGGGCTTGGAGCAACCTGGTCTGGTGGGAGGTGTCCCTGCCCAGGGCAGGGGGTTGGAACTGGATGCTCTTTAAGGTCCATTCCAACCCAAACCATTCTATAATTCTCTGGACAGGTTCTCACTTGGTGGCCAAAACTGATTGCATGCAGTCACCTAACTCTATGATTCTCTGGACAGGTTCTCAATAGGTGGCCAAAACTGATTGCATGCAGTCACCCCTCTTTACCCATGAGGGCAGTTTGTTCAGTTTCAGGGTTTCCTTATACGTCTTCCCAGTAACTTTCACTCCTCTACCTGGCTGATTCATCCAACTGATCAAAATGCCAGAAGGATTCAAGAACTTTTTTGAAGTTCTTGTTTCTTTGCTGCCGGGTAAACACTTCTGGGCCCAGCTAGTAACTCTTTTAGAGGTTGGGGTATCTCAGACCCATGGCTATACTTGAGAGCTGTCCTGTACAAAACACACCATGTAGCTGTGATGTATAGATGTGCACACATCACATTCCCCACTCTGGTACTAAAATGTGCTAAAATTAACCTTAATTCCAACCTTAGTGACATCCACGCAGAGGTCTGTTAAAGCAATTCCTTCCTCCCCCTGGAACATAAAGCCTGCTTTTTTGCATGTGCAAATGGGCATTTTGCTGTGCAGTCAGCCACACGGGGCTAAATGTGAATATTGTTGTCCATGGCTGTAGTTTGCTTGACACTTTCTGAAACGTTGGTATCTGCTCGTCTTCTTTATCGGGACCATTCTTGGATGCCAGTCCTTCTTATAGGATGAAACAGTGACCTTTCCACCATTTTAATGTATCTCTCTACTTTTACACTGCTTGGTTGATAAGGCAAGTATCTTTCTGCTTTGCATTTGGGGTTATCTTTCAAGTTTTTTGAGCCTTCTTTTTTTTTTTTTTCCCTACTCTTTGGAAGGAAGTAAGAAGTGTGACAGGAAGGTGTGATTTTTAATTTACACCAGAGTTCTCAACAAATAATGACTTTTCACACCCTGTTATTGCTGCTTAGCCTGGGGGAGGAGTTGTATGGCTACTGTTGTCATATCAAATTAAATCCACTCATGTAATTCAGAAAGACATTCCTCTTAAACTTAACCCCTTTAAGTTGCCGAAGTCTCCTGGCACCAGAGCTTAAGCTGAGGTGCATCTCTTTTGGGGGTCTCTGGTGTAGAAGGGTGAAAATAGAAATGTTTTAATTCAAGGATGGTGAGCATTTATTTTATTTTTTTTTGTAGTGTGGTGGAGCAGATCCTGACGAGGTTCGTGTGGGTGGATCCTGAGGCTAGCCTGGAGTTGGCCGTGGGCTCGGGGTACCTGCGCCGATGTATTTTCAGAAAGAAAATGTATTTTCAGAAAGAAAATGTTTAGCCAATGATGCCAGACAGTCACATTCTCGTCTGAAAAACTTGCCTGAATAATTTCCTCCGATGTTGTTAGCTGTGGATTGCGTGGTCATGGAGCACCTGGTGCTCCTTTCTGTAGTAGAACTAAAACACACCAATGAGGAAATCACCCTTGGAGAGAGCTTTCTGCTGGCAAGGAGTTGGCAGAGCAGGACAAGCTTTGTCTTTACAAGTCATCTTCTTTCTCTTGAGGAGGTTGCTGATGATTTTGGTGTGTGATTCGAGCCAATCTGCCTGAATAATCTCCTCCGACATCGTTAGCTGTGGATTGCGTGGTCATGGAGCACCTGGTGCTCCTTTCTGTAGTAGAACTAAAACACACCAATGAGGAAATCACCCTTGGAGAGAGCTTTCTGCTGGCAAGGAGTTGGCAGAGCAGGACAAGCTTTGTCTTTACAAGTCATCTTCTTTCTCTTGAGGAGGTTGCTGATGATTTTGGTGTGTGATTCGAGCCAATCCTTGGGGGAAGGGGCACAGGATTCATGTTGGAGTGATTCATCCAGGGGTTGGGATCCACACCTTGGGTACCAGCTCCCGGTGCTCCTCCTTCCCAGGACTCCCACTGGATCTTCCCAGGAAACCCTGGACTCCCAAAGGATGGGACTAGCAAATAATAATGAGGAGTAGTCCCCTCCCCTCCATTGCCCAGGAGCTTTATTGCTCCAAATTGCTGGTAATTGAGGGTTAAGTATTTGCTTGAGGTACCTGCTTGGTGGCGCAGAGAGGGTTAAGGTGCTTGATTTACTGTAAACATATATGTGACAGACTCTTCTCTGATGGTGGGGTGTTTTTTGTGGTGTTGTTTTTTGGTTTGTTTTTTTTTTTTTCTTTCTCTTTCTTTCTGTAAAATGTCAGCCATTTCCTGAGGAGCCTGGTGGTGGAGAATTTCACACCTTTTTTTCTTCTCTGTGTGGAAACCTGGGTGTTAATGGTACTGGAGCAGGTCATGTTTTATAAGGAATGAGGCTGTCTCTGAGAGCAGAGGGAAAGCAGGGAAGGGAGAGGAGGTGAAGAAAGGGATCCAAGGCAACTGCCACTTGCAACAGGCACTAGTTGGATTATTTCGTGCTATTTTTCTTCAGAGCATGTAAATGTAACATTATTTGCTAAGTGCCTTTTTTTCCCTAACAAATGTCGGAGTTCAGTTTAGAGTTCAGCTTAAAAAAAAAAAAAATAACAATCCTCTCTTTTCATTTCACAGTGAAATTTAACATTGCAGCACCTGAAGATGGAAAATTGGTCGGTTGATCAAGTCTGCAGCTGGTTGAGACAGAGAAATTTAGGAGAACTAGTTCCTAAGTTTCGTGGTAAGCATTTTTGTTGTTTGTGTGGGTTGTGTCTAGTTTTTTTTTTTTTCGATGCCTTTAATTGGCACTGCCTACCTTGTTTTGTGGCATGTGTATATATGCTAACCTCAGGCTTTTATAGAAATTTATTAGGGTGAGAACTGACATAGATCTGGTAAATCACAAAATAAGTGTGCTGATTTCTTATGAAGCCTCTGAGAAATGCTGGGGGATGAGATTAAGCCTGTGTGTAAATAGATACACCTCCAACCAGGGCTGGCAGTCTAAAAGGCTTGACAGGGCCCTTTTTATATTGTATAAATCTTTTGAAATAACGCAGCTGTAGTGGGTAAATGTTTTATGCCTGAGTATATAAACACTCCACAAAAGAGTGCATGAGGAACTGTTATGGGAGCAGGCTATTTGTGGTGTGCTCTCTTAAAAAGCTTGCTGTCCCTCATTAATAAAGTAAGAGCCTGCTGTGTAAGATCTTTGTCTCAGCAAGGCCTGATTTAAAGCATTAAAACCGTCAGCTTCCTGCTTCTGGGTGTTTCAGGCTTGGCTTTTTGTCAGGGGAAGGGGGGACTGGGACTCCTGGTGCTGCTTGGGAAAGGACAGGGGCTAAAACATCATCTTTTTAGCAGTTGCAGAAGACCATCAGAAGTCGAAAGCATCCATACCTTTGACCTGTCCTCCATCGTCTTGTTTTTAGGCACAGAGAACGTTACCGTAAAGTTATTTTACAGTAATGCTTTCATCCCCTTCAATCTGCAGAAGAAGAAGTGAGTGGGGCAGCTCTTCTGGCTCTTAACGATCGCATGGTGCAGCAGCTGGTGAAGAAGATCGGGCACCAGGCAGTGCTGATGGACCTCATTCACAAATACCAGCAGAAAAGGAGGGGGCCAGAATCCCTTCCATGCTGCTGTGAAACAGCTCCTCCAAAGCTCCCAGAAGTAATCAGTGGGTAAGTTTGTACAAAGCCCAGAAAGCATCAATCTGGGTATCCCTGTCTTTTTTTCATAGCATTTTAAAACTGGCATTTGCCTGTTCTTCAGCTGTGAGTCGTAACTGGGTTTTATGCTTTGATTAGCCCTAACAACATGTGAGATGCAAAATAAGGTTATTTCCTTGTGGCTTTAAACAGGGCATCAGCATTCCTGAACATCACCATTAATTAATTTAAACTGCTCTTCGTTTCCAGTTCTAGGACCTAGTTTTCTTTTGGATGAAGCATCATCAAACTTCTCCTACAGCTAAAGTTTTCTGTGTTTGTGGTATTAAGCTTTTGAAGCGCTTACTTTTAAATGTTTGCAAGTCTTGGAGTAAAATCATGATTCAGCCAGAGATAGTGTCTGTTTCACAGGTGTGTTTAAATTCAGTCTTTCAAAGGAAGCTCTGCAATCAATCTAGGTATAAGCATCTAATAATTACACTGTGTGGAATTGGATAGATTTTTAGAAAATAAATTCCACAGAGATTGTCTTCATGAATCATTTTCTGGCTCTTAGTTGAGCAGGTTTCTTTTTTTTTTTTTTTTTTTTTTTGTTGGTTTGGGGTTTCTTTGGGAGGGAGATGAGGTTGTTTATTTGTGGGGTTTTTTTGGTTGCATGTTTTGGTGTGGATTGGTTGGGGTTTTGGGTTTGTTGTTTGGTTGATGTGGTTCCCCCCATGTCTCCCTTCCATTCTGATCTATTATTTTTTCTGGAAATCTTGGCTGAGTAGAGACGTCCTGAGTCCTCAGGGTGTTCTCCTCTAAGGCCAAGAATCATGGCAGTGGAGAATGGCTTCTCATGGTTTCAAAATGCTCTTTTTTGAAGGAAAGGACTCTAGCACTAAGCCCACATTAGTGCACTGTGGTAGCATGGTAGGAGTAGATCTGTAGAGCATTCTCTGTAGCATTTGCCTTCATCCAAAAGGATTCCAGGTTGTGCACCCTGAGATGACTCCACAGTGCAAACCAAAGCATGGTAAATTATGATTTCCAGCCAAATTTCTCTCATGAGCAGAACTAAACTGCTCATGTAGATACATCTTCTTCTCCTTGTGGAAGTATTTATGAAACCCCTTGGGTAAATTGTCCTGCATCCTTGGAGGGAAGGACCCTGGGGTGCAGGAAGAAGACAATGTCACCGCATGTACGATTTATCTTAGACCTCAAGTGTGCAATCCCTGTACTCTTTTCTATGTGCTGCACAAAACTTGATGGTGAAAATCCTTTTTTTCTTTCCTTTTCTTTCCTTTTTTTTTTTTTCTTTCAGGGCTATTGACAGACAAATGTCAAATTCTTCTGGTCCTTTGGAGCAGAAAAAATATCTGTGCACAACTGAAAATGAAGAAGGACTAATTGATCACAGAGTGCTGAAGCAAAAGTGAGTTTATAATGCACTTACTAAATTTTCCTTACCTTTTGAAAATGACATAAACATTTATTTTTGCTCTGTTAAGACTACATGTAGTTTACAAAAAGTGATCTTAATTATTGGAGGACAGGTTCGAGTATATTTAGAAAACAGCAGGAGCAGAAATTTATTAGGATTCAATTTAATGCAATAGTCAAACGGTGTTTTTTCTGCTCTGTATCCTCAGTCCTTGCTCATGGTCTCATGTTGCCTCATGCAGAGGGCGAGATACAAGTTTGTCTTTATTTGTCTAGTTTTTAAAAATCCTCTTTTAAAGATGCATTTTCAATAGCAATCTGGCAAATTCATCATTACAGAGTGGAATAAGGCTATAAAAGAAATTGTGTGCTTGAGGCCCTCGGGACAGTAGCCATAATGGTTCCATTTGTGTGCTCACTTTCCTTGAATATCAAAATATGTCATCTTAAAAACTAGGGGCAATGGGGAAGTTTTGTTGGGCTTTTTTTTTCCCTCCCTACACATGCTTTTCCCCTTTGAGATGGGCAGTTAGTGCACAGTCTTTCATTCCTCTTTCAAGGCAACTGTTTTCTTGTTTGCGATGCTTTAAATTTCTCTGCTGGTCCTTAACCCCCTTTATTCCCCCCTGCTATAATTTCTCCCCCAGAGATGTGACTGATGGCTTCACCATCAGCCTAATATTCCGAGATAAGGGGCAGTCTTGCTGTAAAAATGTCTATTTAATCACTTTTAAAAAATAATGAGGAGCTGAGAGTAAGGCTGTCTGGGAACAGAAGAGAGGGCTTAGTGAACCACGTAGTTAAAAATAAAAAAAATTAAGTCCTGCTGCAAGATTCAAAAGAACAAAACAAACAACCCAAACCCAAAGATCCCATCAGCATCATTGCCAATGAAACAAACCCAAATCACTTAACACCCTCACAATAAACCATTAAAATGATCTCGCAATGATAGTTTTTAGCCTGTATTACTAAAGGATGGTTATTTTTAATTAATGATGAGAAATTTGCCTTGTGCTGTATGTAAGAGTTTTAAATGGGTTGTGTGAATCGGTGTAACTCAGAATAGACTGTTTTTAGGAAATGTTCTCAGCAAATACTGTCAGTAGGAACTTCTGAAGGCCCATAATGGCCTGTTAAGGGAAAGGGACCGCCAAGAGAGCGGTGACAATTCACCGTGGGGCAAAGGACCAGAAGAGGAGGGAAGTAAAAGGAAATTGTGCTTCTCAGTGAAGTAGTAGATGCCCTAAAAGTCAGTGGAGCTGTAATAATTTGTAGAAGACCTGAGTAAATTCTATGAGGGCTTCTCTGTAAAGGTGAGATGAGAAGCTGGCAAATGTCTTTCTCCAAAACAGCTCTTTTAAGTGACTGTGACTGAGGGTGGAACTGAGCAGCCCTTGCATCCATTGACTGCTGCACTGGGTTCATCCTTAGCTGTATACTGTTTCTGGAGTTGAATGTTGCTGTTGAGGTACGTCCATGACTTGACCCACACTGAGAAATGCAATATTATAGAGTTTCGGTTCAATATTTTGGTGGGGTCTTTTCTTCCTTTTCTTCCTGCCTGCCTTTCCCTGCAGTACTCACTGCATTTTCAACAACTGATGGAAAATTTTAATATTTTATATGCTTGAGGGGATTATGCTGGCTATAAGTAGGTTGTGAAGGGTTGAACAAGACGTTTATTTTAGAAATTTGATTATGGAAACAGAAGAAGTTGCTTTGACTGTAATTCAATGATAGATTCCTGGCCTAGAGTGTAAAAGTAACACCCCCTGTCTCTTCTGCTAAAATACGTATTTTGAAAACTGTTGTTTGGTTGTTTTGTTTGTTTTTCACTCAAGTTCCCATCTATGGATTTATGTGCCATGGTGAAAAGTGATTTTTCACACCAGATTAACGGTGGCCATTTTTCATATTTTGGCATAATGTTAATCTAGTATTTCTATTAGATCAAGTAGTGGGGTTTTTTCCATTGCTTTAAATTTGGAATGTTTAAAGTTTGTGCATGTGTTTCGCCCTCACAGTTTCTCGCCTTAATAAATCGGGAAAGGGAAGTCGTAGTAATACAGGGAGGTGGTTCTGCAAATAAAACACTTTGGACTGTCTTATTCTGAATAAGGAGGAGGGCAGGTACCCATTTTCCATCAGCCAGGCCAGATCTGGAAAAACAGCTAAGAACAATGACAACTTCCACTTTTCTTTAGTGTGGGTCCCCACCTCACCCATTTATTTGGTGGCAGAGTGGTTGATCTAAGTCCTTCTAGACTCAATTCCACCAAGGATTAGTATAATTCAGTGGGGTTGGTTCAAATGGTTGATATTTGGCCAGGGTTACACTTGTAGCCTCTTGTCACCTCATTTATCCCACCTGGAAGGAAGAACTGTTTGTGCTGAATCCCCCCACCCCCAAAAATAGCCCTGTGCAACTACAGCTTCAATAGCTGCCGTGGCTTTGCTCAAAATGAATTTGTGGGTGCTTTTACAGATTATTAGTGCTGGTGAATTGGCTCAAAGCTTCTTTCTCTCTTTCCGATATAGATAGTCCTCACAACTGTGTTAAATACACCCTTCTGAATTACTAAATAATACAAAAATATCAAAGAAGACTATTTAAACACAAAAATAGAGAGTAAGTGCATGCAGAAATTGTATGATTTTATTTTGTATGTGTTGCAATTGTGCATGTGCATAACTAGATGAGGTTTGGAGGACATCAGTGGAATAACTTTTTGCTGGCAACTGCAGAAGTAAAACCAGCCAGTCTTTCTGTTAATCTCCCAAGAAGATTAATCTTGAAGCAGTGCTTTTCCGTGAAGACAATAAGATAGCTGCAGAGGATGAGTCAATAAATACGTTTCCCCTGTACCTGCCTTTCTGTACCAGAGTACCAGCACTTTGATGGCTCCTGGCAGCCTTGTTTTTATCTTGTTGCTATGACAGAGGCTGTCATTACTTGTAAATACCTGACTCTGCTGTGAAAAACCAACCTTTTATTGGTTGGTTTATATGTCCTGTCTGCCTTTCCTCGAGGTGTTTGTTTATCAAATGACATCTCTAACGTATCCCTGTCTCACTCTTCCCAATGTGACGGTTCAGCTGTTCTCCTGCAGGAGTGATGTCCTGCTGCAGGTTTATTTGTACATTTATTCAATCTATAAAAATGTGTTCTGGAGCTCTTGAGTATCGTGTAACAGATTTACTATCGGAACACCCTGAAGTAATTTGCTCAGAGCAGGCTGATGGGCCTGCAAGCGGGATAATGGATCTGGCCACAGGCCGCAGAGGGGCTGGAGCTGCCCGGCAGAAAAGGACCTGGGGGTGTTGGTGGCCTGTGGGCCTAACAGGAGCCAGCAGTGTGCCCAGGTGGCCAAGGTGGCCAACAGCATCCTGGCTTGTGTCAGGAACAGCGTGGGCAGTAGGACTTGGGAGGTGATCGTCCCCTGTGCTGGGCCCTGGGGAGGCCCCACCTTGAGGGCTCTGTTCAGTTTTGGGGCCCTCACCACAAAACAGACATTGAG